TTATACAAGGGTTGAACGACCAGATGTAGCATATAATAGTCAATAATTTGGGAGGGGGTGAAGGGGAGTAGACGCCATCCAGCAAGAAACGCCCTTGGGCTGGTACTTAAAGGGGAAAAAACAAAAATACACCCCTGGGACTTCGTAATCTATACGTAGATTCTGTTAAGCCTCTCTGACTCGCGCCAATGCAAGCAGCTTACATTTCCATACCTTAGGCAATACCCATACCTTAATGTTTCCAAATATAGTTATTGTTCATTGATATACTATGGACTATGGTAGTTATTCAACTGTCAATGTATAGGAAAGGCTCGAACGTTAGGCTTTAGGTGCTTCTCATATCAAATGGCAAGATGAAAACAGGCTTTTCCTCTAGCTGTATCACATTTGGAAAATTGAAGACGCACTGGAAAACATGATGGTCACTATTATCGGATAAATATTTGCAGAGGTATCAGGCATTGGCAGACCCAGAGACGGGCGGGCGGGGCGGGAACACTTCCTCCACCCCCTCTCCCGAAAGGAAATAATGAGATGATGCCTTATTTTTCCTGTCTTTCTTTTTTCTTTCTCTCTTTATCTCTTTCTTTCTTTCTTTCTTTCTTTTTTTTTCCTTTTCTCTCTTACTGTCTTTATTTCTTTATTAGTTTTTGTTCTGTTATTGTTTTCCTTTTATGAATATGTGGAACTATTTGGGGCACTAGCCTCCTGAGCTATTACCTCATCGATACAGACCATAGTGCTTGACACTCACGCAAGCAGTAGCGGGTTTGATGCTTGCTCGCTTTCTACATTCTTATATACAGTGAGCAAGGGTGTCGATTTGTATCCGTGGTTGGGGGGGATGATAGGTGCCAAAATATTTTCGGCAATGAATCAAAGCAACCAAGAGGTAGAAGCGTGTGGCAGGTTGCACCCCCTCCCCAAGCGCGTAGCCAGGATTTCATTTTAGGGGGGCGGTAGTGATCACGCGAAGCGTGGGAATCAATTACAGAGCGCGCTCCCTAGGGGGTTGGGTGCAGGGAGGGGTAGTTCCCCCCCCCCCCCCGCGAAGCGCAGAAGCTTTGACGTTTCATTAAATTATTAGAGAAAGAAGAAGATTCGATGTACCATTCTCGACTCTTGTCTTAATCCTTAATGTTTGAATCAATTAAGTTCCCGTTCCTCCGCGCGTAGCGCGGAAGCTCTGACGTTTCATTAGATTATTAAAGAAAGAAGACGATTCGATGTACCATTCTAGACTCTTAATCCTTGTCTGAATTCAGTCCCCCCCCCCCCCTTCGCCCTCCCGCGCGAAGCGCAGAAGCTTTGACGTTTCATTAAATTATTAGAGAAAGAAGACGATTCGTTGTACCATTATCGACTCTAAATCCTTGTCTGAATTCAGTTCCCTTTCCTCCGCGCGTAGCGCGGAAGCTCTGACGTTTCATTAAATTATTAAAGAAAGAAGACGATTGGATATATCATTCTCGACTTTAAATCCTTGTCTGAATTCAGTTCCCCTTCCTCCGCGCGTAGCGCGGAAGCTCTGACATTTCATTAAATTATTAAAGAAAGAAGACGATTCGATATATCATTCTCGACTCTAAATCCTGGTCTGAATTCAGTTCCCCCCCCCCTCCCGCGCGAAGCGCGGAAGCTTTGACGTTTCATTAAATTATCAGAGAAAGAAGACGATTCGTTGTGCCGTTCTCGACTCTAAATCCTTGTCTGAATTCAGTTTCCCCGCTCCCGTGCAAAGCGCGGAAGCTTTCTCCTTGTCTCCGATCTCATCACGAATTCGTCACAGAGTTGCATGTGCATCGCAGATTGCTACTTCGCGCTTAACATTTAGCTCGTTGCTTTTTAACGCTGCGTCTTTGTATTTGGCGAACTGCATTTCTATGATGCTGTTAATTGAACAAATTGAATAAATTCATCAATTTCTGATGAAGCCGTATGAGCGAGAATTCAATTTATTTTTGTCTCATATACGGTTGTCTCATTTACTTCGTATATAAATTATGTATTTATTATGAAAATGAGATAGCAAAATGTGTATATTGATGGTCATCTTGCGAGTAATAACCATTAACTACTCTCATCGGGCTCTCATCATTAATTTTTTTTTTTTTTTGATGGTGAATTATTGGGGGGGATGATTGTACAGGCCATCCCCCCCACCTGAAATATTGGGGGGGATATATCCCCCCCATCCCCCCCGGGATCGACACCCATGACAGTGAGTCAAGGTATTCACCCATATTTGTTCCTCTCGACCCAGGTGTACTAAGGGCTTACCTGCATGTAGCTCCCCCTTGACTAATTAAATGCAGAGCCCGCAGGAAGAGCAGTATTGATACTGCCGAAGTTATCTCTTCCCAGTTCGGAGTTTGATCGCAAATTCTTTCGACACATCTCTCTTCTCTGCAATTCTGTTCTGTGTTGTTCCTTTCAGAGTATGAATGTTTTTCCCCAAATTTTTTCTAAAATGTCGCGACCATGATTGTGTAAATAAGACTAGATTGTTATGACTATTATCGTAATGCATTATGTGTAAAAGTAGGCCTATTATGCAAAAAATGCTCGTATACTTTGAGAATAAACCCTTTCTGTCAGCTTAACAAAACATCCGGACAATTATCATTATTATTTCCATCCTTCAAGCTCCACTTTCGATTACCGGACACGACAAAATGGCAGTATGTTCATTTTAATGCATAATTTTGCCCGAGGCAAAACTTACATTATGTATTGTCCACGGCAATTATTTGCATGCATGTCTGTTTAAGAACAAAATTGTAATTTGATATGGTCTTCCTGTTTTCCATAGATACAACAAGGAAACATATTGGAAATTCAATATTTGACGACATAAAAATACCTGACGAAAGATAACAAGAACAGTGAACCACTAGCGAAAAATGAAGATAACTTTGTAGATTTACTCTTGTTGCAATGATATTCATGGCGACAACCTGTAAGTGGTATGCGACGATCATGTTCACTGAACATACGAACAAAGAGCAAACAAAAAATTGTGTTGTAGACGAAGATAATGGCATTGGTTGGAGAAGAGGTTCGCAGCGTTCATCTTAAATAAACGCAGAAAGACCATTCTCTTCAAGAAGCAATACTTAAATATCCATGATGCCTAATGAAGACGCATGATCGGACCCATGCGGTAAACCACTCCAGTACTAAAATGTCGGAAAAGCGTTAACATGTACATTGTGGTCTTTGGTTGTATTCAAAACAAACAGTAGACATAACCAAATGCGTAGCTTGACCGTTATCTGATCTGTGATTTCGAAAAGACTTTTATTCGGGCCAGCATTCGATTGCTTGTTTTCATCCATCTTACATCGATCGTTGTTTTTATCTCAATGTTTAATGATTCTTCTGCTTCTGAATTTTTACTGTCCCTTTTCTTTCTAAGAGGTGCCCGTTCAGCATTCTTATAAATGCCTCTTACCAACCTTGATAAGTGCCCCCCCCCCCCCCGATCTTCACCTTTTAATTGCCGGTATTCAATTTTCAGAGGCGCCCCCGGTGGCCTTCATGTAAAAAATGTTTTAAAGCAGTATCTGGGACCATGCAAAGAGAGAAACACATATTGAAATCATCACAATGTCTAAAATTATATATTTCCTTTTGAGGTTTCCCTTTGTAGGTACCCCTTTTTTCAAGAAAGTGCCCTTTGTGTAGGTACTCCTCCCCCACCCCCTTCTCTCTTTCTCGACTCTCTCTCTCTCTCTCTCTCTCTCTCTCTCTCTCTCTCTCTCTCTCTCTCCCTTTTGTTCTCTCTCGATCTCTCTCTATTTATCTATCTATCTCTTTCTCTGTCTCCATACCTCCCAAAGATTTACTTGTGCTTTTCCCTAATGCCACCTTTCCTGTCGGTTGCTTTAACACTTTTATCCCTTCCTTCCTTGCAACCTCCATCACAATTAAAGAAAAGTCTATCTGTGTAGACCAGGGCCATGTTTCACGAAACTGTAATAAGTTCAAGTTTATATCGTCATCCCAAGCATGTTAATTCTAAACCATGTGCTCAATTGATCAATATGGGATGATAATTGTACTATTTAGTTTCGTGATGAAACGATGCCCCGAGATATAGCCTAGGCCTACATGTTAAATCTAAGAAAACTGTGACACTCGCGTATTTCCCTTGCAAAAATAAGAACCCATCAAATTTACAAGGGATATGAATTTTAAAAATTCAACTGTTTACAACATCTTTATGTATGTATACAGTTAACAGCTAAATTATTCATAGTCATACCCTACAGGGGCGTACGCAGGATTTTTTCAAGGTTTTTTTTTTTAAAATCTGGCCCCAAATATTTTGCGGGGGTGGTGGGGGGGGGGGGGGGGGTGGTGGGGGGGGGGGGGGGGGGTAAGCGGACACTTTTTTTTTTTTTTTGGTCTCGAAATTTGAAAATTTGACATTTTTTTTCGTTGGGAGGGGGGTAAGGTCACTTTACGTTAGCCGTGGGCATTTTTTTTTTTTTTTTTTTTTTTTTTTTTTTTTTTAACCAAAAAAAACAAAGGGGGGGGGTTTTAGTTTTTTTTAGGGGGGGGGGGGTTTACACACATAAAAATACCAAAGGGGGGGTTTGAACCCCCCCCCCCCCCCCCCTGCGTACGCCCCTGCCCTTATACCAAGTATTGTAATTTTAGATGTATGTACGTGAAAAATCAATTTGGTCCGTTTTCTTGAACTTGCATGTGATCGACATAATAAAGCTACATCTAAAAGTATTCAACAAAGAGCCTAGTTCTACCAGTCCACCTAATATCGTTCTTGAGCTACGAAAAACACGAAAAACATCAAATTTAACAAGGGGTGTGAATAATTTAGTTGTTAACTTTATGTGAGCCCCCTAGCTGAACCATTTACCCATTATATATTACATTTATATTTATATGTATAATTATATCTCAGAGTTGCCGCGGAGTATGAGTACATACAGTGCGCGATGCACATTATGTACACAATATAATATATACATGCGCTATTGGGTAAACAAACCAGTGACGTATTATCGAACGTCGCGTCGCCCGACAACCAGGATCGAAATCTAATGGGGACGTAAATTGTATCAGCAGCAATGGATAAGATTATGATAGCGACAGGATTTCTATTTTTTGCTGCAGATGTATTCGCACTAACGAGTGTATTTAACCCAGTATGGGTGGTTTCTCATGGATCTGGTAAGTGACGACTTAAATCATATTACAGTCCCACACCTTATTGTTCATGTTAGTTGTTACATGTAGTTGACAGGTGTCTGACTGTGCACTGCACTGTGCATGTGTCTGTCATGATAATGTACCTGATGCATGATGATGTACGTGAACTGAGTTGATGTTTATTGACTTGTTAGTAGATCAACTTTTGATAGACAATTCTTTGTCAGTTTACTGTAGAATTTACCAGACATCAGCATCACTTACATTCACAAAAATTACAAGCGAAAACTGAGAAACAGATCAGTGAAAGTTTGCGAGGAGGGGGGGGGGGGGGGGGGGGGGGGATGCATTCATTGGGGTGGTGGTGGCGGCTATCCATTCTGGTACACAGGCTTTTGCCTAGCTTTAAGCTGGTAGGTGGTATTCAGTCGTGAGATGTCCATATGAATTATGATGTAATGTGCATTATGTAAGTAAATGCCCCGCAAGAGATATTATTGATATGAATATGATATGAACTAGACTCATGTATGTCACTTCTACTTCTACAACGATACTCAGCAGGATCCATAAGTCAGGATGTAGTGCTGGGGAATAAACCATCTAGTTCTTGGTCTAGATGCTGGGTGGAAGCGCTCCCTTGAAGCCCTCCAGTTAAGTAGCGTCAAGGGTGATCTTCGAAAGTGCATTCCACGCAGTTACTGTCCGAGGGGAATATGAGTTCTGGTAGAGTTGGGTGCGGGATGGGATAGCCAGCAACTTCTTTGAGTGATACTGTCGTGGGTTGCTGCCTGCTGGCAATCATGGGTGCTGTGTAATGGTGTGCATTGATGGCTACTGTGTTGTTTTGGATCTTGTACATGAAGTGGAGGCTTGCAGCATTTCTTCTCCTCTCCAGGCTCTCCCATTTCAGATGTTGAATCATGGCCGAGACACTGGCCATATGACGATATCTCTGAAGGGTGAATCTTGCTGCTCGCCTTTTTTCTGCCTCGATTTTGGATATATGCTTGTTTGTGTGAGGGTTCCAGACCGAGCAACAGTATTCCAGATGAGGTCTAACAAGAGAGAAGTAGGCTTGTTGGCGGATCTTTTGTGAGGTTTTGTGGAGATTTCTGCTGACTAGTCCCAGCATCCGATTGGCTCGGGATGTGATGTTGTTCATGTGGCCTTGCCAGGACAAGTTGGATGAAAAAGTCAGTCCTAGATACCGGAGATCTGTTACCAATGCAAGAGGAGTGTCTCCTAGCGTGTATGTCGTGGTGATGGCTTTCCGACGTAGGGAGAATGTGATGGGGTAGCATTTCTCGGTGTTGAATTTCATCTGCCATGTGTTAGCCCATGAATGCAGCCTGTTGAGATCTTGTTGTAGGGCTTGGCTATCAGTGACATCAGTAATCGGACGGTATAGAAGACAATCATCAGCAAAGAGTCTGATTTTGAAAGAGATCCCATCCACTATGTCATTGATGAAGGATATAAACAGAAGTGGGCCGAGAACTGTGCCCTGCGTTACCCCAGAGGTGACTGGAACCCATTCAGATGACTCTCTATCTACAACAACACGTTGTAACCTTTCAGTTAGGAACACCCTGATCCATCTGATAAGGTTGTCATGGATCCCATAGTGATGGAGCTTATGGAGGAGGCGGTTGTGGGGTACACGGTCAAAGGCTTTGGAGAAGTCTAATGCAACTGCATCAACTTGCTCTTTCTGGTCTAGAGTGTGCAACATCTTGAGATGTAATGATCAACTGGGTGTCACATGAATGGCCAGCACGAAAGCCATGCTGAACATCACTGAGAATATTATTTTCATCATAGTGATCCAGGATATTGCTGAAAATGACATGTTCGAGCAGTTTACTGCAGATGGACGTGGTTGATACAGGGCGGTAGTTGAAGGCCTTGCTCCTGTCTCCTTTCTTGAAGATTGGTGAGATGTCTGCAAGATGCCAGTCAGATGGTACTGTTCCTGTATCTAGATATTGTTGAAAGATAAAGGTCAGGATCGGTGCAATGTCTTCAGCAAAGAACTGTACCGTAGTAAGTGTGTGTCCTCGGCTGGATCAGTTTGTAACTTGTTAACTTGATTACAGGCGCAGTTACAGAAACATAAAACATTTCAAGTTACAAGAGATGGGGTTGACTCAGTTGACTGGATCTGGAGAGAAATGTACAAATAAAGCATCAATCGGCATCAAATATACAGTGTAGAACAGAATTACAAAAGGTACGAAACAAATAACAAATATAAGAAAAAAATAAAAGCATGAAAGAGATGCCAACCACTACCATTAAATCATATTTATTACGATATTAAGAGTGAATTATGATCTTAAAATCTGAAAATAATGATTTTACACCTTTTTTTTCAACAAAAAAAAAGAAAAAAAAAAAAAATGTTTTTTTTAATTTTTAAACCCATAAAAACAGCGTAATCGCATAGAAACATGTACAAATAATTCCCCGCAACCCCAACAAAAAATTTGCTTTTACAATTTTCTCTTTAAATTTTAATGAAAGAGCAAACATTTTCCAGAAATTTTACTGGCCCGGGGCCGACAGGCCAGTGGTAGTGTCAAGTTCTCATGAAAATCTGATTTTTTTCTCTCCAAAATCTGATTTTTTAGGATACTCGGTCTGTTTTTTTTGTGTCAAGAGGTTGGCATCTACTGTATGGGTGTGTTATTGCATGTGCCTTAATCATCCAATCCTGATTTTCTCCCCTACAGGAGCCATGACGATGGGCCTTATTTCGCAGTGCCTGACAATCTTTGGCAGGGATACAGTGTGCATCCCTCCTAACCTCTGCCCTGCCTGGCAGATGACTCTGCTCTTCATCGTGTGTGCCATCATATGCCTGACCATCACCTGCATCATGTTTGTCTACTCCCATCGGAGAATCACAATGCTCGACCACGCCCGATGGTTCTCCTTTGCGGCAAGTAAGTTCAGAATATTTTGTGAACTAAATAATAACAAAATTGTTTCAAAAAACATATTTTACTAATTTTAGATATCGTAATACTTAGGACTTTGGAAGGTCAGTGGTAGACAATACGTTGTGGAATACGTTACATCGTTATGTTTGTGCATTTGTAGATGCCACATACAAAAATTTGACTTTATTTGTTTACATGCTAGAAGAAATGTAAATGGATGAAATAGAAGCATTAAAAATGTCTCTACAATGCCAAAGAAAGTGCAGAAAGTTCTCTCTCAAATATATCAACATGACAACTGTTATTGTTAAACCACATTTGTACATGGATAGACTCCTAAAAAAATAAAGGTGATCATTGACATTAGTTCAGTGCATAGGAATTTCTAGTGCGGTACTCAAATATTGTTTGGTTTCTTGTCTTATCTTTACCCCCTCTCCAGTCATTTTACTGTGCCTGGCAGCCATCATATTTCCAATCGGCTTCTACGTGGATGAGATTGGAGGGGAACCCTACAAACTCCCTAGCACCGTCACCGTAGGATCATCCTACGTGATCTTCCTCATCTCTATCGTCCTAACCGTTATCTCGGAGCTCCTTGCAGGCAAGCTGTGTGCTCCCCTCTTTGTTGTCCGAGGATAGCACCGTCAACCGAAGATAGCACCGTCACCTGAGGATAGCACCGAGGATAGCACCGCCACCATATGATCCCCTCTTTGTTGTCCGTGGATAGCACCGAGGATAGCACCGTCACCGTAGGATCATCCTACGTGATCTTTCTCATCTCCATCGTCCTAATGGTCATCTCGGAGCTCCTTGCAGGCAAGCTGTGTACTCCCCTCTTTGTCGTCAGAGGATAGTGAACACATTCCTTGAACTCTGCGATGTTGCCGATGAAGTATATGTAATTATTTATTTGTTGGAAATGAGATGATATCTCTTTCAACTCTGTAGCAGCAAGGTTTTTCAAATACTATTTTTTATGCAGAGAGTGCATGAAAAACCTTTGAACTCTTTTGAATACCTCTTTAGCTCTTTTGAACTGCGCCTTCTTAATATTATTTTCAGAAATCAGGTATTTTTCTAACATTCTACAGTAGTGCTGTCTACTCTTAGAAAATATAATATTTGAACAAAAATAGATGTGAGCTTTTAAAACTATATCAGCACTAGTCTCTTCCTGGAGATATGATGAAAGATTTTGTTTTCTTTCTTCTGAGATATACATGTAGAAGACTGTCTGTTGAATAAGTCATGGGACTGTGAAACAACTCACTATTCAACCTTTTCATTACCTTCTGCTTACAAATTAATATATTTTGATAAAACCACTCCCTAGATTATGTGGAAAAGTGTGTGGAACTAGGCATCAAATACATGTGCCCTTTGTCAGATGACTTACAGCAAGTGCATCTGCCATGTGGGAAAATATTTTGCAGTTAAATCGTCAAAATGAGCAAAATGGCATGATGGCTGTTGTCGAAAGAGGTTGAATTGTGATATTTCAGATTAAGATTAGAAGAAAAATTATGTTGAATACCATTTGAAGAAGATGCCTTATCCATTGTCACATTTAGAGGCTACATCAAAAAATATTGACTGCTCATGAGGATGATGGTGGGAACTATCACTCCCAAGGTGGTGTTCACACCGGCCCTTCTATCACCCCGAGGCAAAGCCGAGGGGGTGATACAAGGGCCGGAGTGAACACCACCGAGGAAGTATAGTTCCCACCATCATCCAATTACAGAGCAGTCCATATTTGTTTTATATACCTCATCCTTTTTATTGATTCATGATTAGGTCTAGCTGTAGGTCTAGATCTAGCTCTAAAAAACAGGAAACGAGATCAAGAGGAATTTACTCACCAGAATAAGAAAAATCCAACATTAAGTCCAAGGCAAGAGTATTGAATTCCTACGCGCTGCGCGTAACCGTGCGATTGCGGTAGCCTAGCAACTAAACAAATTTTTGTGCGCAACTAAGTCGCGGGAGGGGTTAGGGGTCCTATCCCAGGGTTTGATAGTAGCTATCAAACCTCTGACGTAATGATACTTGATAGATCGAAATGCTCCTTGACATGTGATATAGTTTTGACCAATCAGTGAATGACAATCTATGTATGAGGTATATAATATTTATTGAGCTGTAACATTTCTTGATTAAATAAATTCAACCAAGGCACATGTAGATACTTATACAAAAAACCCCACCCCACCCCTTTTTGTCTTCTTCTAGAACCGTATCCGGAGCTGTCCTTGCCTTATTTTTGTAACCAACTAACCCAATACTATATTTTATGTGTATGAATAATTTTGATGTAAATATCCCATACATGACACTTATTGTATCTATTTTACTAGTCTTGAGTTTTTCTTTTTGAGGATCTTCATAATATGAATTTTCTGGTAATATGTTGAATGTTCACACTTCACCATCATGTCTTTTCTTCTTTATACTCTTGAAAATGTTTATTTATTTCCAGCCTTTTCACCTTGTTTTAGGGAAATCAGTATTGTTTGAGTGAGATATGTAAATACGTTGTAAGCCGTTGAATATTCAATGAGGATATTTGTTTTGTTTTTGCAGTTTTCTATTTTTGTGTGAACACTTTTTGGTATGTTCTTTTCAATCAGGGAGGGGATCATCTTTGCAAGTATTTTTATAAAGTATTCACATACTTAATAATGAAGACCTCACGTACATGAATGTGTACACACGAACACGTATCCTCTGTTGAGAGCCAGAAGGGCATTATCTCTTTGTTAAAGCCCCTCCAGAGTGGTAGGAGCCCAACAAATTTAATGGCAAAATTTCACTTAAACTGTATGATAGTGTGAAAGAGAATGTCATTAAAGAAACATTTCTGCAATGATTTTCAAAACAAATGTGTCTTGAAACACAATTTAAGGGGAATCTTTGCTGAAGCATGTCTCAAATTACATTCGCTTTCACATTATGATAAAATTTAAGTGAAATTTTGCCATCAATTTTTTGGCTAATTTGGGGCTCCCAACACTGACTTTAGAGTGGCTTTAGAGTACCGGTATAATTATGTGTAAGAGCTAATACCCTTCAGGCTCTAAGCAGACGGTATTAGTTTAACCAATTGCCTTCAAGTTGGCTCCTGTATGAAGCCTAAGGGAATGGGAGAATTCAGTCGTCTACGGGTGAACATTATTGTTTTGTTGCGAGTGTTATTGTATTCTGTGAGTGTTTTTTTACGTCTTGATAATGCATTTCTTCATTCAATTTTCAAGAATTTACAAGATATCTGGTAGAAATTGACTTTAAAATGTAACTGGGTTTTATGTGGGAACTTCTGGACATTGTATTTTTGTAAGCACGGTTTAAAGGTAAAGACCAGTATTGGAAATGCCCCAATTTCAAAAAATGAAATGGAAGCTCTTATTACCAATCATGTGAAAGAATATGTTTTGACTGATGCATGATGATACAAATTTTGCCGGGAAACCGCCTACTAATTGATATATTTGGTAAATTAGTTTATCTACATGGTCTGTGAGAGATAAACGCACGTGTCGCGCACGTGTGCGTATAGTCCCATATACATCTTTCTGCGTACAGTACTTGTAACTTTACGAAGACTGGGCCAAATTTCTTATCATTTTGATGATTCCAGAACCTTGCAGTACACACCAATACTTACATGTATATGCTGGATGATCAACCTTATCTGATCGATTCCACAACGTTTCTTTCACAATGCAATCGCATGACCATAACTGGTCTTTACCTTTATGACATCAGAGAGGTCTACAAATATAATTTTCCAAATGGTACATGTATCTACTTTCCAGTGCCTTGGATGGGACAAATAAAATTGTATGTGTTTGTATCATACAATAATTGCCTTTTTATTACTGATCAGATTTATTCCTTTGTTTATATTCAGAAAATGAATTTCTATTAATGTTGTCAACTTGTCATTATGTATTCAATCACTGTACATGTATAATATGTTGATGATACATGTTCTATTTAATGGCAACTTTTATATTCATTAAAAGATGTACTACTTTTTTTTCTTAAGGTAGGGAAAAAGAAAGTGGAATGAAAAGTTGTTGAACATGTTCTCTTATTGTTACACCTGTATCTAAAGATGCATGTGCCAGTTACTTTGAAGTTCCGTCCATAAATTCTAATGAATTGGTGTAGTTTCTGGAAGTAGCCTAAGTTTGTGTGCACATACATGTAGGTGTCTGTAGATGTAGCACATGACTGTTGCACATGTATTGGGTAATGTTTATACAACTGATTATCAGTACAACAAGTTACAAGACTTTCTACAAACTACAGAAATATTTGTATTTTGGTATCAGACATTTTGTCATTGAAGTTTAGTACTTGTTACATCTCTGAAGTTTATTTGGCCCTCCTAAAATTACATGTGGGATTAAGAATAAATACATGTATATTTGTATGATATAAGGGTAATAATGTAAATACTTGACTCCATTCCCATGAATTAATTGTTGGCTCCACATTTTGAAAGATGCATGTATTTAATTAGATTTGATGATCCGAGAACACTTCTATGATCACAGAATGAAACCAAAAGTACTTTTAAAATGCATTGGCACTCACTTTGAGTCATATATGTTTGTAAAGAGGCTTTATCGTCTCAGCATTTTTTTTGCTACATCTAGCTCGCCGTCATTGATATTTTTAATTGCAAAGTTGATATTTGGGCAAGACATGTTTAATCCCAGTAGCAAACTTAGGCCCGTTTGCATAGGCTGTTTGATTCTTCTCTTTTTGTCTGAGATATTTTGACCTGTGAGTTTCTGTTTGTTTGGATTTCTATGAATTACTTAAGTATTTTACCAGAAAGAAATAAATTCAAAGAAATGATATTTCAAATTATTTTAACTGTGGTCCTATCTCTCAGGTACATCTATTGGATAAAATATTCAGACGCGTAGGATTATTTATATTCTCTTCTCTCCATACTTCAACACCTGTATGTATGTAAACCTTACCTTGATCCTTATGCACGTTTTTTTTTAATTTTGACCAAAGATGAAACTTTCCTTAGTTGTTCACAATGATATATATTTGTTTACATTGTACATTCGTGATAAATATAATAATTGATTAAATACACCTAAGATTCATGTTTAAAAAGGACAAGAGGAAACTTGCCCCACAAACTATTTCATCAGTATAGTGATGCAAAATTGTGTAAACAATTGAATAGGGGAATGGGGGTGGAGGAGTTTCGGAAAGGATTCTTTACAAAAGGTATGAATACATGTTAAATACAACACCATTAAATGTAGTGAAATTTACCTACCGGTACATTATATTAACCAAAATTTCATGAGGATGATTTGGTCTACAACCGACGTTGTAATGTTAAGAACTGTATGTTTATATATTATGATGGAAATTACACAAAATAATTCAATGTGCACTTGGGGGGGGGGGGGGGGAGGGAGGGTGGCACTGTGATATGTATAACTGTTTTAGTGCGAACTTCTTTTGCACCATCATGGCATACAGTAGTCCATTTTTGATATACTTGTAGCAGGTCTTTTTTCTATCTATCACACATATATTGATGTCTTTATCATTATTTCTGTCCTTTTTCTTTAATTATACATGTAATTGTAATATATGTTACATCAATTTTATTCACTGGTTAAGATATATACATGTATTGTCTTTTTGTTATAAATATTTTAATGACTTGAATCATTATCATGCGTACAACTCTGTATATATTGGTTATAATGAAAAAAAGAAAGCCAAAGAACCTTACTAATGTACCTTTACTTTTCAATGTTTTTCTTGCAATAAAGCTTGAATGTGTTTCTTGTAATCGAGTGAATATGTGCATTATGTCATTATGTTAAAGCTTATCTGCCGTAGTTTACAGGAGGGATTAGACCGCTCTGCAAGGTCACTGGACAGGTGGTTATCTCATCAACTCAGCTCTCAGTTAACATAAGAAAAAGAGGATCATGGGGGACCAATGGTCACCGATTAGGCATTGTTAGTTATATAGAGGGCGCAAGTAGCTACCAGTAGTGCAGTGGGCCTTTAAAAAAGTGTCCACTTTGTGTCTACCAGTATATTATATTTTACCATACTTTTTTCCACACTCTCTCTCTTTCTTTCTGTCCCTCTCACTGCCAGATCTCTTCCTTCCCCCTTCCCCTCACTCCACAACCCCCTCTCTCTCTCTCTCTTCATCACTTCCTCTCATACCCAATCTAAGCCCCTTCATCAGCATGTACCTTAGCAAAACTAATTAATGATCATGACATCTTTAGTTCTTGAAAGTAGAAATGCTAAAAGAAAAAACACCCTCATAAAATCAACTAGACTTCAAATGACATGACTTGACTTATTCACATAACTGTGACTTAATTAATATTTTCCTATTGACATTACTGTTTACTAGGTTAATGATATATGTTTATTTTGCAAACGAGTATTATTTTTGTGACTGTTCTGTATAAATGTTATAAACGATGTAAATATGTTCATTCAGGGCCCCATGGAAGACCACTACTTGTTGGTGAATGTGCTACCCTGTCAAATGAATAGAAATAAATAAATAAATAAAAATATTCAAGCCTATAAATATCTGTTACATGTGCGAGTAATTTTGTATATAAAATGTACAATTGCCAAAAAATAACCCAAGAAAACGGCATTAATTAAGTCCAGTCTGTCCAGACCTCAAGTCACACATAAAGCATGTTCCAAAGAAAAAGGAAAGTGAATATTGATTTTCATTAAAGAAGATAGCAATGATGCAAATTTTACTCAATAGTCATTTTCTTCTCTACAAGAACTTGTCTAAAGATGTTTAATAAATTTAATTAGTACATGAAACGTAGTACCAGTACCTATTATAATTATTTCTCAAAACAAACAAAAAGAAACCCATAAAATTTGGTTTTCAAACATTTTATTTAAAAAGCATGATCTTCTAAAACCTGAAAATACTTACAAGTTAATATTTACAAAGCTTTTTAGGACCAACATTGTTCCATAAATGATTACGTGGAAATAAATTCATGGGAATAAATTAGTGTTTGATGAAAACTAAATCTTTTAAAATCATCAGAACTAAAAATATGGATTCGGATTACCTGTGAGATGTTTCCAAACTCTCTTTTCTATTCTTTAATTTGTCTATATTCATTTTGGCAAAGCGTAAGTCTGTACAAGATATAGACCATTCCTCATTTTTCTCTAATGATTATTTTCCCCCAACACCGCTGGAATGCATTACAAATATAAATAATTAAAATAGTGATGAAGGGTCCTGGTACGAAAGGTCTGTCTGAAAAGAGGGCTATTAAAGAGAAATGAAAACATACTCCTAGGATAGACCTTCGGTTACTTGTGTGAATATGTAACAACACCAAATATGACATTTTGAAAAATGCATACAAAAACTGTAGATGATGCAACAGAAAAATGTCCCTGAACTGATAATTTGCCTCATGTCAATTCAACTTTTAAAATGTATTTACAATGAATCTCTTTCTGAAAATCCTTGCCAAATTTGAAATCATGATTGAAAATAATTATTTGGAAATTATATTAAATGTAGCATTGGCAAAACGTGAACAGAAGTTTGTCCAGTCATCCAATATCGTGGTGTTGTTTGAGATGGTAGAATATTTAGATAAGGAGCTTCTCAATGGCTTGCTGGATGATCAGGATCTGCGGCTTCAGCTGGGAGCCCTCGTTGGTGGTCACTGAACAGGAGATTACAGGACGGGAGACACCACAGGCACGACCAAGAGCTGCACAAGAAAAAATGGAGGACAAATTTAAAAGTCTTCTATCATCTTTTACACATATGAAAACAAATTACAATCAATAGAGATTGACATAAAATGGCATGGAATATATTAAATTATGGGGCATTACTCCTGTGAAAAGTTGAAGGGAATTAAGATAAAAATTGCAAGTGTTTTTGATTATTTTAAAATTGCTTTTAACATGGAAAATCTGTTGTTCCTCCAGGCCTTTTGTCAAACATTGGCAAATTATCTAGCAATATTGGGAACTAAGAATGTTGCGCATTATTAGCAGATTAAAATATGTTGTAACATTTCTCGCTGTCCAAGTGTCATGTGACGTCCCTTAATTGATGGGAATAATAAACATGATCATGTAAGAACAACATGATCATTAACTGCCATGAATAACAGAATAGAGGTCCTCAACTGGCCAACCTTTGTAAGTTATGGCTTTTCAATACCAACATGGGGTCTGCATCTCTATCACAGAGTTACATATTTTCAACTTATCAATCTGAATTTCGTCAACAAGGTAGATAGATGCAAGTTTGACAGTTGATATAGGGTCTGGTCCTCTGCCAGTAGCTGGTTTCAATGCAACCTTCCTTTATTCATGAAGCAGACACTAAAGCCCACTTTAAGAAATTGTTTTAACTATGGTTTAAATCACCCATTGACTTTGGGCAACCAAAGGTGAAAAAGAGTTAGATTGTTAGAAGGAACACATACTTCATCCCCCCCTCCCCCAATAAAAAAAAACAGTGACTTTTTATGGTGCTCTGACATCTACCACAACAAAAGGCCATTTTCGTAATGTAACCAAAATTAATGCATGAGTCTTTGTGAAGTGCATCAATACAAATTATTTCGTTCACCTGATACGAATAATAGTATTTCAATAGTCAGAACGCAAACTGAACGTGTGGCTAGGTACGGTAGGTCAAGCCATGTTTGTCCTACCTGGCAACCATTAATGTTTGCTATTTGGATATTGTCTATTGAAATACTATTATATTCTTATCAGGTGAATGAAACAATTTGTATTGAGGCACTTCACAAAGACTTGTGCATTAAATTTGGTTACATTACGAAAATGGCCAATTGCTTCAGGCTTTATTTTGTGAAATATACAGGGTTAGCATTCAGGCATTTGGTATAGGGTTTGGTCCATTGCAGGGTTGTCATTAAGAATTTACTTAGTGTACAAAATCAAAATTGTCCCCAGATCAAGACCATTTTTTTCAAATCATGCTTTCGCCATTTTGGCTCTTCACAATAACTCAGCAGTTTAGAGTTTATACCATGGTTTAGGTTTAAATGTCCTTCCTGAGATATGAATACTGTGACTCAGTGTGCCAGTGGATGACCTACCTTCCTTGGACCTGACAAAGACGTAGGGGACGTTCTTATCCTCGCACAGGAGGGGCAGGTGAAGCAGAATCTCTAGGGGCTCGGCATCAGCAGCCAGGATGATGAACTCAGAGATACCACGGTTCAGGGTCTTGGTGGCTGCGGAAGGTTCAAGAAAACAAAAGATTATTCTTAGTGTCACAGATTCTAGAAGGCCCAGCCAGTCCCACATTTATTATGATTAGATTGATCATATTCATGATGTAGGGGTGTTCTGAACCAGATGCAGGAGGATTTTTAGGGGGATTGGTATCAGCAGCCAGGGTGATAAACTCAGAGATACAGTCAAACCTGTCTATAGCAACCGCCCAAGGGAAACACAAAAAGTGGCCTTTGTAGACAGGTAGTCTTTGTAGACAGCTTCATTTAGTACATGATTCAATGAGAAACCATTTTCAAGGGAAACAACAAATGTGGCCTTTGTAGACAGGTGGTCACTAAAGCAGGTTAACAACAAAGATTATTCTTAGTAGTCTCTCCTAAGCAATGTTGACAATTTCATGATAAACAACATGCATAACTGTTTTAAATACAAAGAAATCAAGGTGAAAGTGGCGAGTTACTTGTATACTTGAATGCATACAGATCAGATGCACAAAGATGTTATAAACTGCCAGCTTCTTCAATCAATTCATTAGTTCAGAGGCAGGCTTACTGGCTTATTGATCCAGCCATTTAGAAGCAGTCCTTACTAATGAAGAGCTCAATATTATTTACAAATGTGTACTCGTTACTCCTTATTCCCTTTTTCAATTCTTTTTTCTTCTCACAAGGAGTATAGATTGTAGTTTTCAAGGGATATTATTTCATTTGTTGTGGGGGGGGGGGGGGGGGGAGGTGGAGGGTTCATGTGACCAAGCCCAAAACCTGTTTTCTCATACATGTACATGTAAGTAGAACTTACCTTCATTGGCTCCCTTCTTGAGCTGCTTATAATTGACGGCTTGCTGAACCAGATTAAGGAGTTTCTTTGTCAGGTCACCATCAGCCAGAGGGTAGGCTTTGGAGTTTACTTCATCGGCCTTTGAGTGCCCAAGAGGAAAAGAAATACATAAAATTGAAAAGATGATTGGTACTACAAAATCGGAGAATAGTGTAGAAAAGCGCCATAACTAAAGAGTTTTTTCAGACGCTCGTATTATTCTAGCGATTATCCTGGTATAACCGGCTGGCATAAGCCTAATTTACTGTTTCTTTAGACAGCCAATCAGCGCTCGTTATATTCGCGCCTTGTTCCTTTAGTTTCCGTTTATATCGATTGGTTTTGGCTTTCTGTTTCATTCCTGCATTTACTCTGATGAGTGCAAGTCGAAAAAGCTTTAGTTATGGCTCTTTTCATCACTTAAATGGGTCCATTTCGCAGACGATTCTTATTTCCGATTCCGCGCGTTGGCAATGCGAAAAACGGATTCTGCTTTGATTTCTTGATGCATTTCACATTGTACAGAGACTTTCACGTTACTTATGAATAGAGTCTATGAGCGATATATTCTTGGACAGGGCAAACCTTAAAGGGATCCGGTAACTTTGTTTCAGATTCTGAAATAAAATTCTGGATTTCACTCATGATGCAATGATATTATAAAACTTTAGGTCAGTCAGGAACCCCATGACATTTACAAGCCGATCGCCTGTCTGATTATCAAGATATTTATGATTGAAATTACAAATTTTGAAAACCGTTCGCCTGACGGTTTTCATAACACTAAAGTCTATTGGGGAAAACGAGTATGGTAAAACCGGTCACTTAAAGATTTTTTACTTTTTTGAGGCATTTCTTGATCATTTTGAAGCGTAATTTTTTTAGGGCTTCAATATTACACCATATCACAGACACTGATAACAAGTAGGGCCGTGTATCTCAGATTTAACATTGTTAAACGATCCCTTTAAAAGTAGACGGTAAACTGGGAGTAATACGTGGAATCAGTTTTTTGCATTGCAACTTGCAAGAGCACGGATCAAGAACCTGAATCCCGCAGAGCCCGGAACGGCGGAAGAAAAAAAATTGTCTACAAAGATACGGACGATGCTTATTTTTGCGGACGTGATTTATCCATCATTCCATGTTTATGTGGACGATCCTCATTCTCGGACCAGTGCCCCTACTGCTTATTTAATGTTATTTATAACGGTTTTGACTTTCGTGATATGAGTGACCCTGTCCCTGCGCCTGCCTAACTCAAACTCAAAGTTCAAACTTTAAAACTGCCAAAAATAATGAAACGGCAAAAGTAAAAAAACCTAGCCCAGGCAAATTAGGAAGGCAAAGATGAACTCACAAAGCTCTTCCCAAAACTACCGTATAACAGCCTACAGTACTAAGTAGATCTAGTCTAGTACATGATTACTAGTACAACAAGTACAATTCCCACATGCTAGCACACGTGCACACTAACCGACCACACCACGTGTTGGTCCCACACATTCATTATAGTGTACAATTTGGCATTCGATACACTCATCAACAAACACGCTTCATTGTAAATCATCACAGATTATTTCAATTCTTAACAAATGACGCCTGAATATATTCATAAATTTTAAAAGAATATGACACATACCATGTTAGGAGATTATTGTATTGTTACAGGTGAAAATATGGGTAAAACTCGGTCCTCTCGGCGTTGTGCTTCACTGAGGCCTTAAAATCAACGTTACACGTGCGTTCTATAACTTCTAAGTGCGAACGCCGACGTACGTCGTCGTCAATGCAGGGTGAAGCTTTTCTTCACACACCTAATCGGAGATGAAGGTAGCCCATCCAATGTGTAAAAATTGCCAATTTGATAAGTGTAAGGATCGCATTGTACACGTACAACCGCTATAATACACACACGCAATATATTCTTTGTGTATTGTATCCATCTGGCATGATCAGTGCAACGATGGCTGGCTACCAATTAAAATAGGCATGCTGGTCGGATATAATGAGAGTAGATGATGGAGGGGGGGGGGGGGTAAAGCGCAGAACTTAAGGGCAAATCAAAGAATTATACTACGACCTCACCTCATTTATGTTAGAAATTAAAACGTTATTATCTTCTTTCGAATTGCAATATATCCCGCACCATAATTATAAGCATGTCATGCATAATAATAATATGCCTTTTCTCTGCGAAAGGGGGCATTGACTCTTTAAATACCAAATCACATAAATTCACCACCCTACGCTTACTTTTCACCACCCTAGCGTCGTGTACATTGTCTATGGATAAAGTGGAATATTAACTCTTCACCACCCTACGCTAATTTTTCACCACCCTACCGTCATGTACATTGTCTATGGATAAATGGTAATATTAACTCTTCACCACCCTACGCTAACTTTTTCACCACCCTAGCGTCATGTACATTGTCTATGGATAAAGTGGAATATTAACTCTTCACCACCCTACGCTAACTTTTCACCACCCTAACGCCATGTACATTGTCTATGGATAAAGTGGAATATTAACTCTTCACCACCCTACGCTAACTTTTCACCACCCTAGCGTCATGTTCATTGTCTATGGATAAACTGGAATATTAATTTTTCACCACTCTCTACGCTAACTTTTCACCAACTAGCGTCATGTACATTGTCTATGGATAAACTGGAATATTAATTTTCACCATCCAATTACAATACAGTGTATTGTCCTATGTGCAGGCCAAAAATAATGACGAGGTTAAATTCCAACGTAATTTGAATGATAATAATAATTAGAACTTCCCTCAAAACCAAAAGGTTTGTTTGAAAATGTCTTTTTGTGAGAAAATAATGATCATTAGTTGTCGAATTGAATTTAGCGAGCACGCTCGTTTAATTAGTCTGATTTTTACATAATAGACAAATGTACATTTAGTACATGTAGAGAGGCGCGGATCCGGGGGGGGGGCGAGCGGGCCTTGCCCCCCCCCCCCCCCGAACAAAAAGGAGAGAAAGAAAAGGAAAAGAAGGGAAAGGGAAAGAGGAGAAAAAGGGGAAAAAAAGGAAGAAGAAAAGAAAAGAGGGAAGAAGGAGATCGGGGGGGGGGGCAAAATGAATTGCCTCCCAGGCTGCTGCCCCCTCCCCCAATCAAAAAATAAAAGAGAAGGAAGAAAAACGGAAAGAAAAAAAAGGAAAAAATGAGATAAAGGGAAGAAAAAAGAGGAAGAAGAAAAGAAAAGAAGGGGGATATCAGTTGCAATTTTCCCGATCGGGGGTTGGGGGGTTGGAGGCAAAAGGCCCTTGCCTCCCCCCCCCCCCCCCCCCCCCCCCCCCCGTCCCCGCGTTAAAAAAAAAGAGAAGGAAAGAAAAGGAAAGAGGAGAGCTAAAAGGGAACAAAAAAGAGGAAGAAGAAAAGAAAAGGGAGAAAAGAAGGGGAGATCAATCAATGTGTGGAGCGGAGTGGGGCCAAAATGACCTTGCCCCCCCCCCCCCCAGGCAAACTTAAAAGAGAGAGAAGGGAAGGGAAAGGGAAAGAGGAGAAGAAAGGGAAAGAGCAAAAAGAGAATGAAGAAAGGTAAGGGATATCAGATGTAATTTTCTCGTCAACAAGTTGTAAATCGGGGGGGGGGTGGGCACTGGCGTACTGATAGGGGAGGGGGGGGGGGGGCTTTGGGGAAAAAAATTCAAACGTGGTTTATTTCTAATTCCATAAACGGTGGTTTACAAATAATGCTGAAATGACATAATTTTCCGAGATTTGTCATCACTTTTAAGTAAATTGTACTTTTGTATGCGTTTGTTGGAAAATGACAAACTCCTAAATTTACAGCCAGGCAAGAAAATGCTTCTTGAGATGCCTACATGTCAGGGCCCGCGGAACGGCGGGGATCGGGATCCTCGAGCCTCCCCCCCCCCCCCCCCACTTTTTTTTGAAAAAGTATATTAAAGAGAAAAAGAAAGAAAGAGAGCAAGAAAGAAAAAATAGTTAACTGCCAGTGACACATTATAATGATGTATCAAAATATGCTCATCTGACCATGATTAAATTAAATGCCTAAAACCACGAGGGCTCAGCCCCCTGGATTCCACCTAGGGCCCTAAGGCGGGCCCTTAGATGCTCATCTGACAGCAATTTAAACGCCTAAAACCCCTGAGCTTCCGGGGGCTCTGCCCCCTGACCCCAACGAAAAGCCTCAAGGCGGGCCCTTGATACTCATCTGACCGTAATTGAGTGCCTAAAACTCTTGAGTTTCGGGGGCTCCGCCCCTTGAACCCCACGCCAATTAGTGACCTGCAAATGTCACAATGGGCAGACAAGGTATCAACATAAGTTCATCTGACTGCAGGCGCGTAGCCAGGGGGGCGGTGGGGGGGTCCCCAAAAAACGCGTAGCGAGGGAGCGCGGGAGGGGGGAAACTGAATTCAGACGAAGAATATTTTCGAGAGCGGTACAACGAATCGTCTTCTTTCTCTAAAAATTAAATGAAACGTCGAAGCTTCCGCGCTTCGCACGGGAGGGGGGGGAACTGAATTTAGACAAGGATTAAGAGTCGAGAACGGTACAACGAATCGTCTTCTTTCTTAATGATTTAATAAAACGTAAAAGCTTCCGCGCTTCGCGCAGGAGGAAGAAAATAAATTCAGACGAGGATTATCTTCGAGAGCGGTACAACGAATCGTCTTCTTTCTCTAATAATTTAATGAAACGCGGGGGGAGGAGGGGAGGAGACTGAATTAGACAAGGATTAAGAGTCGAGAACGGTACAACGAATCGTCTTCTTTATCTAATGATTTAATGAAACGTAAAAGCTTCCTCGGTTCGCACAGGGGGGGGGGGGGCTGAAGTTAGACAAGGATTAAGAGTCAAGAACGATACAACGAATCGTCTTCTTTCTCTAATGATTTAATGAAACGTAAAAGCTTCGCGCGGGAGGGGGGGGGGGAAACTGAATTTAGACGAAAGATTAGAGTCGAGACGGTACAACGAATCGTCTTTCTTTCTCTAATAATTTTTTGAAATGTCAAAGCTTCCGGGGAAACTCGCCCCTACTTGCACCACCCCTCCCAATTACGTCACTGCTGGTCACCATAACGTACCAATATTTGGCTCGCATGATTTCAAATTTGCCCCCCCCCCCTAAGAAATCCTGGATCCGTGCCTGCATGTAATGCTCATGTACCCCTTACAGCTCTATTTATTACCAAAGCAAGTCAATCATTCATTCAATAGCGTCTGACGGTCAAGTCTTAAAAGTAAACAGGTTTCCTTGCATAATTTGAATTCTATAGGACACTGCTAACAGATAGGACATACGTGACATATTCACAATTCCTGCAAAGTTCTTCAGACTTTCATGTTGGCTGAAAAAGAGATCATGGGGTTCAAATAAAACCTTTAAGAGATTTATTATTCCGATCGGTGGGTTTATGTATAAGCAATTGCTTCACGAGGATGAACTGAAATAAACAGATGCGATCCCCTTCTGTCGCCTATATAAATTTAAAAAAAAATATATAGGGCTTGATATGTAGACGGGTGAGATACTTTAACAATGAAACAGACCTCTTCATTTAACAGACTATCAAACAAATTATAAAACTTGCACTCTCCAAAATATTATCGTCAAGAATTTAAAATTATATTGTACTAGCCTGTATATCTTTTTCTAATACAACTGTAGAGAGAAACATATATTGTAACATTCTGTAATATGTGGAATATATTTTACAAATGAACCGCAATATACCTGGCAAATTACCTTGTTCCCGAAATATTTGCGGTACCGCAAGATCTTATGCAGGTACATGCAACTGGGAAACTGTTGATTCGTCGGAAGTTTGCAACTTGAATGGATCTTATTTCAGTCGTTATGAATTCAAGAGAATCGGAAATGAACGGCCAAATTGTTGTGCTGTTTATGTAGGACCTCCACACAATTCCACATTGATTCCAAAGGGATGACAACATAATGAAGCACGAAGGCAAAGCTGGTCTCGTAAATGTTTTTAATAATATGTGGTTTTCAATGTGACTTGGTTGCCATGTCTAATGTTTTAAATATGTGCACAGCTGCATTTGAGATGTAAACTGACTGTACAACATTGAATTTATCTCCCATATAATTATACTAGAGAGAATGTGAATAACAACGAATTTGTTAACAAAACGCATTTTGCCCCCCCCCCCCCCAAAAAACGCCCCCCCCCCCCCCCCTCCAAAAAAAAAAAAAAAAAAAAAACAGTAAAGGAGTAAACATGGTTTGTATTTTTAACCCAAAAGAACATAACAATAATAAAATCCTGAATTAAATCACATATACAATTCCATTCAAAGAAAAGAAACGTTCACAGGAATTAAATTTCATAAACATTGCGCATGCCACCTATACGGTATTTATCAATGGAGGTCTTTATAATAGCGCAAATCATGGACATATTGTGCGAAAATGGGAAAGCGTGTCTGTTTTTTTGTTATAGGGGTGAGAAGACATGAGCCCCCGAACGCTGGCGTACTGAAGGGGGGGGGTGTATTTCTTATTCGATACCAGTAATTTATAAATGTTCTTGTTATGACATGATTTTCCGGTATTTTTTCTCCATTTTTTGTTGTAAGTCTTACCTTTTTATGCGTTTGTTGGACGATAAGAAATTCCCAAATTACAGTCGAGCGAAAAATACGCTTATTTAGAAGCCTTTATGTCATGGTCTGCAAAGTGGTTGGGCTCGAGCCTCCCCCCCCCCCCCCCCCACCTCACTTTTTGAAAAAGTATGTTAAAGAG